TGATAGTGGTACTAGTAATGAGCAGTTTTTTAATTATAGCACACGAAACTGCAACAGCTCTTTATTTGTCCTTATGATGTTATGCTTAAGTGTTTCTTAAATGTTTAATATATTTGAATTTTGCTTTAAGTACTTTTATTGCAACATTATTTTGTGATTTTTCATTGCAGGTACACAGTATTTTCACTGCATTTTTGATAAATGAGGACTCATGGACTGTTCTGGAAACTTAACTATTATTTTTTTGTGGGGAAGGGAAGAGGTGTGGAGAGTGGGTCGATCTGTATTACCAATTACATGAGCATACTGTTGTAGTTTTCCCTCCAAAGGGAACTATCCTGAGTGGAAAACTGGTGGTATGCTGGAGGTTTTCCAGGTCTCCTCCAAATGCTTTGCTGCTCTCTCGCTCCTTCAGTGTCAGTGTTCCATGGGTATAAGGTCTGGGTTCTTGCCTCCTTCCTTTGCCCAGAATGTGCGCATGTCTCCAGAGGAAAAGTGACCTTAGAGGGCAAAATACCTCTTCTAAGTTCTTTTCTGTTCCCAGAATCCCAGCCCATACAAACAGATGGTTTTCCGTATTTTGCATTTCATATGACTTTTCTAGGTCCAAGTGGGATCACTGGTCTTCTGTTAGTTTTTGTAATTCACCCAGAAGCACACGTCCCCCCACCACCACCACTGCCACTTCCCAATTCACTTATTGAAGAAATCTGGTTGTTAGTCTCATGGAATTTTTCAAAGTGTAGGTTTTGTTGATTGTATCCTGTGGTGTCATTTAATATGTTCCGTCCTCTGTATTTTCTACAAAGGGGTAGTAATTTGCAAAGGCTTGATCAGATTAAGGTGAGGTTGGACACTTAGAAATGTAACAGTGTATTTTTGTGAATGAGAGTTGGCATGTCAAATGCAGCCTCTAGAAAAATAATTAAGATTTGTTTTCTAAAGTTGATACTGTAGGTTATTTTTGTGAATAGCCTGATGTTTGGGACCTTTTTTCCTCAAAATATAAGTCCTTATTAAACCAGGAATTTGGAGAAAAAAGAAAAAGATGGAGAACTCATCTAGGAAATGTGCTCCATACCTCAATGGTGAACGTCACTACAGTTAGCTTCTGAGTACCCACCCTTGGGAAACTGTGCACCAATGCTAGCACCTTGGTCAGCCTTCAAAGCAATTTTGAAACTCTTTTTCTGGAATGGCCTTCAGAGCTATCATTGTATGAGGTCTGACAATTGAGTTGTGAACTCATCTTAGAAAAAGTGCTTTGAAGGGTGGACTAGACTCTGGCATTGGTTTATAACCAAAGTGATATGCAGCAATGAAGTACGTAGCCCTTTTTCTATGACAGTTCATGGAACTTAATTGTCAGACGTCATATGCTTCTGTCAGGAGGTACTATTTCCCCCTCTCTTTTTGCAGTATTTACTGTCATTAGTGATCATCACCCAGATCCATTAACTTGCAGGAGTTGCAAAATGGTGGTATTCTGGTTGTTTAGGATATTGCAACCTCATTTATAAGTGAAATGTATTTGTAATTTCCCTTTATAATAATATATAAATATATTTTTTCCAATTTTAATATAAGGTATATCTAGATGAAGTAGAATGAATTTG